TAATTCACGATTTAATTGAAGCCTTTGCTATAGCAGATATCCCTTTAGAAAAAGTTGATTCGTTACTTAATTTTTTTAGAAAACATTGTAAAGAAGGTGGTGCTATCCCACAAGCAGCAACATTATGTCAACTGTATGTGCCTTGTGTTTTTTCTACACATTTGGAAAATCTCAAAACTCTTTTTTGTCAAAAATCTGTTGCTATAATCATGGATGAAACTACGGATGCTTGTCAAAGAAGTGTAGTTAACACTCTTTTTGCATATCACAACAATACAAAATTAGTTTCTGTAGACTTTCTTGCACATGTAAATAATGTAACTATGGGCCAAACACTTATTAACATTCTTCCAAAATATGATATTCCAATTACTTCTCCTCGTCTTTTTCTTACAAATTCAGCTGCATATATGAAAAAGTGTTATCGTGAAGTTTTACATCCTATAATGCCACAATTAATTCATATTCCATGCTGTGCACACATTTTAAATTTGATTGGGTAAGATTAAGATAACTTTATTATTATATACTGTCTGTATACAAGTTATTAAAATATAATAAATTAATTTTTATTTAGTGATACTTGGCGTGTGTTTAATCATTTTTCAGTAATTAAACATTATTAGAAAAAGTCAAAGAAACATTCACTAGAAGTCCAGCACGTCATTGTTGGTATATGGATCATTTACAGTTTCATGGAGTTAATCAACCACGAAAAATTCCTCTTCCTTGCAAAACAAGATGGAATTCTTGGTTTCAAATGGTTAATTATACAAAGGATCATCTTATATATTGGCCTGGATTTTTTCAAGCTGAGGTTGAACTGGATTCAAACAGTATTAAATGACTGTAACATTAGATCAACTATAAAGTTTCTTCAGAGCATTGCCCATAATATTTCATTTTAAAATTTTTTTTTGTTATTTTTTTAAAAAATATTTTTTTTTGTATAAAAATAATAATAATTAATGTGTCACAATAAAAGTTTTTGATAAATAAATTTAATAAAAAAATAACATGAATATGCAATTTTTATCAATTTCGTCAACAAAAAAAAAATATATTACACATGTATTTATATTGTATTTTTATGAACTTGTTTTTGATGCAAAGTAAGGATAATAAGTGGTGTTATTAGTTAATTAACGGTTGATTTAATTTGTTGTAAAAAACCAAATTTTTAGCTAGTTATCCAGGTATTCACACAGTCCTTGGCAAATTGTTAACACAATACTTGTCAGTAAAGTGTCCTGTCAGTGAAGTGTCCTGTTGGTGAAGTGTCCTGTCGGTAAAGTGTCTTGTCAGTGAAGTGTCCCATTGGTAAAGTGTCCTGTCAGTAAAGTGTCTTGTCAGTAAAGTGGGTGTCGGTGAAGTGACCTGTCAGTAAAGTGGGTGTCAGTAAAGTGTCCGGGTCCATAATGTACTATGCAAAATGTTGTACATGATTATTATATACAAAGTAAATTGTTACAGTGTCATATAAAAGCAACTTTGACCACAAGTCAATGGGTAGGCTGTGTGTCATAAAAGGGAATCAACCATAAGTCAGTGGGCTGTGTGTTGAATGTAAAATAACCTATTAAATAGGAAACTCGAATTGCACACTCATCAGGAAAATAAATCTCATGTAAACCTACATAGGGTTTAAAACTGACCAGCATTATGCAGAAATGTTAACAGAATTACCAAAATATTGACATAATGCTGGCCAATTCTGAACCCTACATAGGTTTATGTAAGATTTATTTTCCTGATGCTTGCATATATACACATTTAAGTATAAAGTGATTACTAATATTCCATGCTATGTTAAACTGTAATACAACTCCATAAATACATTTTCCTTACATATTAATAGATAATAAAATTTTGGATTCATTACTAATAATATTTTTGAAATTTGGTTTATGTGATTCTAAAAGTATTAACCATATAAATAATTATGGATCAATTTCTTATAATAAAAGTCAAGATTTTTCCAATGCAACCTTCTGAGTGATCATAAACGAATTCATAAGGAACACTTTGACACAACTATTACTGTTGAGTTTGCTTTATTCTGCATGTTAGTTGGAAGAAAACCTTAAAGTAAATGTGAAAAAAAGTAACCTTGCAGTCTGGTGTAGAGTAAAAAATAAATGAGCAAGACTCCTATTTTAATAGTTGTTAAGAAGCCCTAGTCTGGCTCTAAAAAATTTATCATGATTATGATTGAAAAAGTCACTTGTTAAAGAATTTTTTTTGGTTATAATGAATGGCATTTGATGTGCAATATCCTGCGACTGATAATCAGTGTGTGAAATTGAGCGCAGGCACGTGTGTTATATAAAAAATGTGCACATTTTGTTGATTATCATCAAAAAAATTTTTCATGAAAAATAATTTAACAAAAAAAAATTTATAAAATTTAAAATTTATATTGAATAACTATCTATTCTTTCTTTTTTATTTGACCAATGTTCATATGTTTTTTCAAAATTAAAATTTTGAATATCTAGACCATTTAGTAAAATCATTAAATTACTATTAATTGACAATCTGTGATCATTTTCATATAAAATCATGGGGCTTAATTAATTTAATAAAATCAATTTTTACTCAAATCTCAGTGTTTTCACTTGTCAATCCTGTGTCAAAATATAAAAGAATACTTATAGCACCTGGCAAAATTGATCAAGATATCCATTATGGCCCATTTGCCATTTATTGGTGGAATTTTATTGAAGAAAATACAAAAATATGTTATCCAATAAGAATTAATATGAGAATTAAGATTGAGCTCAATGAAAAAGAGTTTATTATTCAAACAGTCATAAATACAAATAATGGTATGAAGCCGGTTAAATATGTGAGTCAGATAACAATGCAATGATTTATTCAACACCAAGTGAAGTGATAAAGCAACACATTATCCTGGTCCAAGCATTTTAGGTTTTGATGATAAAATATTTGTTGGACAATTACAGGTAAATGTTTTATTTTTTCCATTTGAAATTGCTATGAATGGTATTAAAATTTTTGTAGCAGCACTTGGTAGTTCAGATGAAAAGGAGTTGAATTTTGCAGGTCTGGCTATTGTTTATCTTTTCATTACAGATACTCTGGAAAAAAGTCTTTGATATATCAAACAATAAATATGTATTTTCAAGGAAAAATAGTTTGCACACAAACTGGAATAACTCTTACTGATGTTTGGAGAAAGTTGTCTATTTTGAAAGGTATTGATGGAAAGTAATTATTTGGTTTATGTGATCAGCTTGTTATGCAAGCAATTAAAAAACATATAGATGCACCTTATTGTACATCCTCTCACTGGGATAATATTGAAATCATGAAAAATGCATTTAAGAGATGTTCTTAAAAAGAAAATATCAGTTGTCAACATAGACTGGTATCAATTTTTTACCAAATGGAAGCAACAATCAACAACCATTATAGAATTTATCTCACATATTTTAATATAATAAAGTATGTTTGTTATATAATAAATATTAATTAATATATGTACAGTATGTACTAGTTATTGTATGGGTGTTTAAAAATATTGTGCAAGCTATGATGCAGTCATAGCTTATACGAATTTTTAAATATCCATACAATAACATCTATATTGTGAAACTGAGCTATGATAATGTTTGCATAACATGCACTGATATTTTAAACTTTTTTGTTGTTATTAAATTATTTTATATTTTATTCGAATTGCTTCTAATTTAAAGATTATATAATAACAGTAATATGGGTAAAGCTGGAAAAGTTCATAAAACACACATATTTTTTTGCCTTAAATTGTATTAGTGCACATATTTTTATTTTTTTTTTTTTATTTTTTTTTTATTTTTTTCTTGTTAGATGTTTATATATTCCAAACCTAGTGACAGTGAATTTGAATACTTTTTAAATAAATCCAAGAGAAAAGGAACAGTCAACTCAACAAAAAATTGG